TTTGTGCAAGCAAGCTGAATTTGAATACATTTGAAATTTCTTGCTTTGTTAATTTTAAATTCTTTTCTTAAGTATATAGTAAACATCCCATTTCTTAATCCATATAACATATTAATAGATCTTGGGACTGATCATTGTCTTTCTCTGGACTTTTGACATCTGAAGCCAGAATATTGTTCTAGAATAAGGTTTAGGTCCCGGATAGTCAAGATGAAAGCTTGTCTCCTGTGCCTCCCACGTTGAGTTCTTTATAACAAGAGAAGGGTAGATCCTTGCTTATGGTTATGAGGAATCTTGAGTGACAAGAATCGAAGAACTGTTCTGCTTTCCAAATATTGACCTACATTTACTCCTTGTTCTGCAGAGTCTATACCCACTTACACATTTGACTCTCTGTGGTGCCTTGGAGCTGTGAAGGGGTGTGTGGGCTGCAACGTGGCAACTTACAACTTGCATTGCCTTTTTTCCAGTGGGCTGCCCAGGACTGAGGGTCACATGCAGCTTTGATTAAATAATTATGCCACATCTTAATTGCCTTTAAAGAAAAGATGATAGAAAGGAAAGAAGGAAGGATGGATGGAAGGAAGAAAACTCATTTTATACTCATAGTTCCAGTTTCCACCTGCCGTCTCCTTAGAGAATGGTGAAGCTGTGTTTAAAGATATTCACGACACTGGTGGTTATATGGATTCTTTTTTTTTAGACAGAATCTCGCTCTGTTGCCTGGGCTAGAGTGCTGTGCTCACAGCAACCTCAAACTCCTGGGCTCAGGCTATTCTCCTGCCTCAGCCTCCCAAGTAGCTGGGACCCCAGGCATGTGCCACCATACTCAGCTAATTTTTTCTATTTTTAGTAGAGATGGGGTCTTGCTCTTGCTCAGACTGATCTTGAACCCCTGACCTCAAGTGATCCTTTTGCCTCTGCCTCCCAGAGTGCTGGGATTCCAGGTGTGAACCACCACGCCCGCTGTGGTTATATAGATTCTAATGATATCTCTAGGATATATAATCAAACGTGTGTACTGATTTAAGCTTGCTGATTAATTTGCATGAATTAGGAAAAGGTGTGATCTGTTCACAAAATCTTTTTTTTCCCCCTAAGGAGCCCAGTTTTATAACTTCCAAGGTCAGTTAGAAAAGTCCCTTCCTGTGTTGAACAGACATTGCTGCCTGAGCCAGAGCAGAGTTCCTGATGGAATGTGGGACTGCTTCACTTCCTTTTCCTTTTTGAATACTTGCCTCCCTTTTCTCTCCTCTTTCATTTTAGATCATATGGAAATGTCTGCAAAGCCTGGAGAAGATTATATTTTACAGTTTCACATTCAGTTATTTTTCTCTTCATTCTGCCAGATAGTTCATAATTATCTCTGCAGTTAGGTGATATCCTTTGTGACAGTGTCATGCAGCGCTTGTAATGATTTGTTTTTAGCCATTAAAGTAAACAAAGATGTGATTAATGCTTAAATTAAATGTCATCAGAGATACACAGTGAGATAAATAGAGTGTGTCTGCAGGATTCCGCAGAACTAGACAGGTCACTTGAATGAATTCTCAGTCAGTGAAGGGAAATGGAATTTATTAAGGAAGTTACTTACATGGGTCACAGTGCTAGGTTCAGTTCTTTGTTTTATTTCACAATTTAACTCAGGCTGGTCTCTGAGTTAAGTCTTATTGTTATTTGTTATTCTTCCCTTTTAGATGAGGAAACTGAGTATATCAATTAGGAATTGTGTTTGATTGCTTGTAACTGAAATAACAGTGGTTTAAACAAGGTGGAAGTTTGTCTGTCTCACACAAAAAGTGTTCAGAGTGCGGAGTACAGCCTGGAACAGCGAGTCCCTGGTCACGCAGGATTCGGGCCCCCCAGTCTTTGTGCTCTACCATGAGGCTCCCTCTGTAAGGTTGAGCCATGATCTAAGATCCTGCTGCACCCAAAGATAAACTGCTAGATTGTAGTTTGTGCACATTTTAATTTTCATTAGATAATCTCAAATTGTTTCCAGAAATACATAATCTTTTCAAGCACATATAGAATATTTAAAAATGTTGACTATGTACTAGGCCATAAAGCAAAGCTCAACAAATACCAGAACCATTATCATGCAGAATACTTTCTCTGACTAAATGCACTAAAGTTAGAAGTCAATATAATAAAAATAATTC